CAGTGGGAATGGCCATGAGCCATTTTCAGCCCACAGTTTACTGTGTCTGCAGCAAAGCTAGTGCAGACTAGAGGAACCGTAGTGCCTGCTCTTAGAGAAAATAGTGCTGTGTTGGCAACAGTGGAGCTTTCCTCTCCGGCTCTTCTGTCCCCTCCACTTTTCCCACTTCTTTCTCCACATCGTGTCATGATGCTCAGTATGTTTAGCTATGACTTAATTGAATCCAAATGTTGTGGACCCACGATACTGGCAAAGGAAGGTGGGATTATACTCATGGGTTTCTGTTCACCAGTGTTAGCAGAAATCTTTGCCACACATGTTGAGCGACAAGGACTCTTTGCTTCACCTCAGCCAGACCGTTGCCATTTACTCACCATTCTGTCCCTTGTATAATAAAAGCATAACAATGTTGTAAATCACAAATTATACTGACAGACATGCTGTTTTAAATAATATCAGTGAAAAAGCAAGTGCCTACTTCTTGGACATAAAAAGGCCTGAGTTCAGGGATTAAGTCACTGTGTTGGTAAATTAAAGCACTGATAACTGTTTTGGCCACCTGGGCTCAGTGGACACAAGCTGCTATTTAAATCTGCAGATCCTAAAGCAAAGCAATTAGCTGAAAACATGCTATAAACTCCCCAGAGCCACACCAGGTGTAGATTCATCCTTTCCACTTTAAGAAGGACACAGGCCTGTCAGGACAGGATGCTATTGTACCTTGAAAACTTGGTAAACGCACAGAAGTCCAAATATGTGGGAACTCAGGTTAAAACGCCATAATACGGATTAACAGTGTGTTGTATAAAAAAAAAAAATCTGTGGGCGTGACATGTTTCATCAGACCGGCCCTCTCCCAGCTGAAATCTGAGTGAGGTTAATTCTATCAGTCATCCAGGGGTTAAAGTGGGAGTTTGCAGCAGTCGTTTCTTTCTGTCCACGGCGCCGAGCGGAAAACATCGGACTAGTTTCCTAAGCTGTGTCTGATTCGAGTCATTGTCCACCGGAGCCGCGGAGGCATCAGGGGCGCAAACCTCATTGGTTCTCCTCCAGGGCTGCTGCATCTGTCTGCGCGTTTTCAACCAGGTAGGTTGTTGGGTCGATAGCTGTGTTTTGTGTCCGTGCGTTGATTACAGCCCTGGCAGACCAACATACAACAGGTAGTGGTTGTTCAGTGACAGTGACAGTGATGTTCACGAGACAAACTGGATACGTCGTAATGAAAACGAGCTGCCTTGCGCTCTCAAACAAAGTTCAGGTGTGTTGCTTTTCCATAAATTGCTGCGGCGGCCTGGTAAAACCTTATTCTGTGTTTTATTTCATTTGTGTTTTCTGCCTCAGCTGTGTAACAAACCACTTTCTCCCCGTTTGTTTTGTTTGTTGAAGTCCTTTTAACGTAACATCTTTTAATCTTTCAGTAAGTTTTGGACTTTTCTCCTGTGCACAGCCATTTAAACGTGTGTGTGTGTGTGTGTGTGTGTGAGAGTGTTGCACGCAGTCTGTGCGCACAGTGGGCCTGTGGTATTTCACCATCTCATTCACTTGCAGACTGAGTCATTCCCTGATTTCCTCCAGATGTGCAGTAATTTACGTTTCCTGACGGCCCAGGATTGTGACATTTCTGCCCTCTCACTGCAGTTATTCTGCTGACAAATATGAATTCGCTCTTGCACTCTGTGGCTTAGTGTTGTGACACTAGTGGGTCCTATAAAAAGCTACAGCTTTTTCCTGTAATCTGGTAGTTGTGACTGCCTTTTAGTTAAAATGTAAACCTTTAACTCGAATCTGCAGAGAACAGCTGACATGTTGCCCCCCTTTTTTTATTAGCCTTTCCTTAGTGGGACTCTGGCACCACTGTTCCTGGACAAGTGCAGTCATGTGTCATGCTCATGTAAATGGAGCATCAACAATTAAGGTTTATGCCTTGTTTTTCTTCTCTTTTTTGCATAGCCAAAAAAGCCTTACAGGAATTTTAAGTGTGTCACCATGTGGAGCAAAGCATGTGAAGCGTTTCCCAGACTCCACATCATTCTATCAAGTCTAAGGATAGCTTTTAATAGACTGGCTTGAAAATGAGCACTGTAGATGAATGATCTATGCAAAGCTGCCAGTTTCAGTTGGTAGGTGCTTAGTTGGGCATCACGAGATCCTTTGCTTTGCTAGCATAAGATTAACCTCAGGTAACTGTTCAACCCTTGCCCACTTTTAAACTTTGGTTTGGCAGTCGTCGTTTCACTGGTACACTAACCAGCTGGTCCTAAAGGTGTGTATGTCCCACTCAGTCATGTTTGTGTTGATGGCTCTCCACTTGTGAGAGAAGAAGCTGATTCTGAGTGAAAGCAGGTGATTGTCATCATGTTATTGTGATTGTTTGGTTCATTACAGGTAAGTGACTATGAAGAGATGTAGGTGAATCTCAGCTGCTGTGGCATCTTGTGTATCCACTGTGTTTTTGCCTCATGACTTTGCTTGTTTCCTGCACAGTAAGTGCTAAAGCATGTGACTGTCTAGTGTGTTGCCAGAGTTTTTTTTTTTTTTTTTTTTGTTTTTGTTCTGCAAGTACATATTATTGTAATAGTTATTCCTTCCTGAAGGATTCCAATAAATGTATGAAGTGACTGTCTCATGCCCTTTTTTACCTTTAGGTTACTTTACTCCTTCACAGGGCTGAACTGACCCAGCATGTATAAAGCAGGGTCAAAGTGTGTCTTTGCTGTGCTCTTGTTCATATGAGACCATGGTGTTTTATGGGTCAATAGTCTAGTTATGCTTCTTTCTCTGAAGGGTGTTTGTGGTAAATGTTTAATATGGATAGTTAAAGATGATGCTATAATGTTTATGATGAGCATAAGGTCCTTTCAGCAAAGTATTTTAATTGTGGCCCTTTCAGTCTAATATCTGTAGTTTCACCAGGAAAGAGCATGTATTAGCGTTTCCCTCTCACATGTGGTGTTTTGTTTTTTTGTTGCTCCAGACGCATAAGGAGGAGCATGTCTGGGTGTTAGGAGTCAGCTGACCTTGCTGCACCCAGAGCTGCCGTCTGTTTTACCGCTGACTGTCCACTTGTCCAGTGAGGCTCATTCCGCACCATGTCTACAGAGGTAGAGAACAGTGCGCCCGTCCCTGCCGATCCCAGTGTTACATCCACATCTACAGTCACGACCCCCAGCTTCCCTCCACCCTCCCCTGCAACAGCCCCGTCCAAGGTTCCATTCAAGAAAGAGAAGAAGAAACGTGAGTGGTGGAAGAAGACGAGATCATGAGCGTGACTGATTGAGACTTTGAATTCCCTTGTTTTATAAACTTCTAAAATTTAGATTGACACTTTTTTTTTCTTTTCTTCATTTTACAGTTCCAGAGAAGACTGATGAATACCTGCTGGGTAGGTTTCAAGGGGATGGTGTGAGGTACAAGGCCAAGCTGATTGGCATTGATGATGTCCCGGAGGCTCGGGGAGACAAGATGTGCCAGGACTCCATGATGAAACTTAAGGTGTGACATGAGACCTGAGACATTTATCTACTAGCTTGGCGATTCATGAAAAAATTGAGAATGGCATTTTAAAGCTCCTATCTGTAATGTTAACTTTTTATTATTAAAACTTGGCCCTCTTGGTGGGGACATTTGTTACTACTAGAGACCACCTGCAATTGAAGAAGTCTCATGATTTGTGGGACATGTAGAAGGCTGACAGCAAAATTTTTAAACAGGTACACTACATTTGCTGCATAGAACACTGTGTATAATTTGTGCTGTTCTAGGGTATGGCAGTAGCTGCTCGGTCCCAAGGCAAGCACAAACAGAGGATCTGGGTCAACATTTCCATGTCGGGCATCAAGATCATTGATGAGAAATCAGGAGTGAGTTCTGCAGTTTCCTTTTGGCACTATGAAACCACACTGGATTTCATTAGATTTGATTTGTAATGCTAACCTTAGTCTTTGTCATTCAGGTAATTGAACACGAGCATGTGGTGAATAAAATCTCCTTCATTGCAAGAGATGTAACAGATAACAGGGCATTTGGATACGTGTGTGGATCAGAAGGACAGCATCAGTTCTTTGCCATAAAGACTGCACAACAGGTGAGTCATGGGCATACATGGAGGCAATGCCATAACAGACTAATGGACTTCACTAAGAATGTGTTTGTGTCACCATACAGGCAGAGCCCCTGGTCATTGATCTGAAAGATCTCTTCCAGGTCATCTTCAACATGAGGAAAAAGGAGGCAGAGGCCTCACAGAAGGTAACCAGCTCTCACACTCATGACGTCAAAGTGGGTGGTGGGGGTGGTGCTTTTCAAAAGTTGTACAGAGGACATTTCTGAAAAAAAAAAGCATTTGGTGTGGTCATCTGGGAGGGTTGAGAGTACAAGCAGTGCTGAATGTCAACACTGCCACTCTGTGCTCTTTCACTGACTCACATCTTCAGACATTCCACTGAAATGACACAGGCCTCAGGAAATTAAGAAAATAAGGTACAGTCATTAAAAGCCTGCCTCTGTTTACAGGGTGAAAATGGCAGCACAGTGGTTGAGGTAAGCACCTGGAAGCACTTTTTTTTTCTTCCCTCCAGATATTTTCTCTCATTCTTTAACTCTTTCTATTTTGTCAGAATGGAAGTGATGCCTTGTTAAGTGTGGATGGTGAAGTAAAATCTGCCCAAGTAAGAGTTCCTGCTCTGTTGTTTTCAGCCCAACACTGAATAAAATTCCACTGTGATCAGGGTTTTAGTAGCTGGATAAATACACTATGCTTCTGTTCCTTTTTGACATCCAGCCAGTGGAGCAGTTTGACCTTTTTGGAGCAATGTCAACCCCCCCAGACATCCAGGCTCCAAATGTAAGTGTGGTGCCACATAGTGGAATGTCACTTAGTGAAGCCAAGTATTTACAGTATTAAACTTGCCTTTTACCTATTAGAATCATTTCAATAGTCTTATCAAGTTTTTCTTTATAGTAATATGGTTCTAATAGCCAGCGACTGCATTATAGTGCTACATGCTGATTCCTGTCTGAAATGTTTGACTTCGGCTCCACAGAGCAACCTCACAATCTCCCAGATTGTTCCTTGTGCGAACTCGCTTCTAAAAACGCCACAGATTTTGTCTTTAATTGATTCTCAATCCAATAATATCCATGAATTGACCATTTTTGGCTTGATTCTAAATATTTTTTTTTTTTTTTTTAGAACAGAGTTAATGATTTATGTTTACAATCTCATTGTTGTTCATCAAACCTTTAAAGCTGCTACCAGTAGGATCTGTGAAAGAGAAATTAAGTTTTGGTGAACTTTGCTGTTATTCAAGTTGTGAGATGGACTCTGAAGGCTGATGTACCATGAAATTTAATGACATTGTGAGGTAAACACTCTCTGGTAGCAGCTTCAAACGGTCATGTCATTTCAGTCTGTTTTTTTTCATTGTCACTGTCACATGTTTGTCTCCTCCTGTGTGTCTGATTCATGAATCTGTTTTCTCTCCCACTGCCCTCCTCATGCTAACCAGGACTCTAATGATATTCTCTTGCTGGATTTTTCTGCTGAAGTTGACAGCAATCAGAATTGCATAAAGGGAAACTCCTTTGTAACTTCCTTTGCCCCTGACTGTGGGGCACTTCCTCAGACAGAGAATCCCTTTTCCTCGGCCTTTGGTTACTTTCCAACCCCAGACAGTGACCCTTTCAGAGAAGACCCCCTTTCTAAGTCACCCACTAGGTCGGCACCCAATAATTCACAGATCTTCCTCACCACGAGTCCCCTAAACAGCACTGCTGGCAGCTCTAGTAACACAGTTAATGGTTGTTTGAATGGAGATGCTAACCACCTCAGTCAGCAAATAAATGGGTTATCCAGTAAGACCATGATCCTCGCTCTGAGTAATGGACAGTGGCCACTAGGGGGCAAAATAACTCAGGGCAGCATAATTTCCATAATGGACGGGAATGACTCTGGACCAGTTCTCTCAACCAAAAACCCATTTTTTGACTCATCTTTGAAAACCTCTCCATTTTCAAATGACACAAGTCATGACCCTCAATCGCCAGTAAATAATAGCAAGGATTCAGTTGTCCTAAACCCCCCACCACAGAGCTTGAAGGCTGGACGAAGTCGAAGGAGTGCAAAGGTGAAATTCCACAAATGAATCGCAGTGGAGTTGCATGCATGATGCGTACATATGGGATTTCTGTACATTTTCCAGAGCATAACTAGCTGCTAACACCTTGTTTTCTGACCATTTGGGTTGTGCACTAGAGTATGCTACAGGATGCACTGGGTTTATACAGGATGCAACGTCTGTAATTTAGAACAGCCTGTTTGGATCTGTTTGATCTTTATGCATGCACTGGTGGTCACATGCTTCTCTGCACCCTTTGTCATCTTTGCTCCCAGTCTAACATTCATGCTAGCAGTGATTTTAAAAAAACAAAAAAAAAAGGTAAAGCATGCATATGTCTTGATCAAGTGAATCGTACTTATTGCATAAATTTGTTGCTCTTAAAAGGTTTAACTTTAGCTACCAAGTTTTAATTATTGTGTAAAATATCATGCCAGTACAGTGCAATGTTACTACTTATTTTGTGTGTGTGTGTGTGTGTGTGTGTGCGCGCGAGTAGTCCACAACAGGTGACCTCTTTGGAGCAGAGCTGTTTGCTGCTCCTGGTCCTTCTGAGGGGTTGTCTTCTCCAGGTGATCTTTTTAACAGTACACCTGCCAACACCACTCCCTCCTCCATAGCTGCTCTGGGTAATACACAAGAGGCGAATGCTATCTCTCATGCAGATCTTTTTCAGGCTTTATATTTCATTACCTTTTAAATGTCCCTCTTTATATAGGCAATCTTCAGTTAGGCCCTCCAGCTACCATGGGTTTTCCTGCTGCAGGCATGTGGGGATCCTCCACTGCTACATCCATGTTCCCAATGACAGGAGTGACAGTTCCTGCCCCTCAGCCCAACTTCCCACAGCCATCTGCTGTTGGTGGTCTACCCATACCACCCACAGCCTGGAGCCCACAGATGCCACCTCAGTTTAGTGCCCCACCTCTCTCACCACCTCATGCCTGGGGCCACCCTCCGCCAGCTAGGCCACTTGGTGCTCCAGGCTGGGGACAAATGACCAATCCTTTCCATTCTGGCTCATTCCCAACAGTGGTGGAACAGCAAGGTCCATCACGCCTCCCTCCTAGGCCCCCTGTCAAAGAGGCCCCTCCAAAGGTAGAGAACAGTGCCTTCACAGCTTTGGATCCCCTAGGAGATAAAGAGAAGAAAACTGGAAAGGACATGTTTAAGGACTTCCAGCTTGCCAAGCCTCCTGCCATACCAGCAAGAAAAGGGGAGCTTGTGTCCAACTCCATTCCAGCTCCCAGCAGCAAAGCAGATGCCGGGGCATTTGATCAGTATTTTTCCAGTAAAGTGGGCCTGGTTCAGGATTCTGCAGATCATGATGACTTTGATATCAATCAAATGTCAACAGTTGTTAATGGTAAACCAGCAGCACAATGCATGTAGACCATTTTTGTAAGCTGATGTGCACTGTATATGACTAATCCTGTCTTTTCATAATGTCTGTTTAGAAACCCCTAAACCTGCTCCTAGCTCTGGCTTCCTTGATTCCGCCTTCTCTCCAGCTCCCATTTTGAACAATTCAGCACTAGCCCAGGGTCAAGGCGTCAATCCAGACATGTTTGATCAAGCATTTGGGGCCCCGAATACAAATCCATTTGGCGTGCCACTTGTAGCTACGGTACAGAGATTCACACGTTGCTATCATATCAATTGGCTCACATTAATAATGTGTAACCTTTTGACCTGTTGTCAACCTTTTGGCAGACTGCTACTGTTGGTCAGTCCTCTGGTCCAACAACTGCTTTTGCAGATCCCTTTGGAAATCCCTTTGCTTGACCATGAACTTGTCCATAAGTAAGTTTTGTTTGTATTTCTTAACTGAATTTATCTATAAATGGCAAATACTATTGTCACTTTTTTTCCTGTTGTGCCCTCACAGTTGTACTGGGGCAAATGAAGATCTTCACATCAAATAACATCTTTGGGAAAAGCTCCTACAACATGATCCAAATGATGAACTCCTCTGTCTTGATCCTGACTCGCCCTTCCTGTTACACCTTTGCATCTATTTTTTTTTTTTTTTTCCTTCCCCTGTCCATATAGTAGTTGCCTTATTTCTGAAGAACACTGATCTGAGAAGTGCATCCAATGTCATATCTGCTGGAGAAAGAAATGTGGTGTGAGAGAAGGGATGTCCAAAGAGGTTTACTGTTGATGCTGTGTATTAAATAATTGTCATTATGCTGCAAGGTGTTGACAAGTCCTTTTTGTCTTCTTTAGCCTGTGTTGGTGAATCAACAGTTGGCAGTTCACTGGAGTTTCAGCAGTGAAATGTACAGTATGACTCAAAATGCAGACTTTGATGTCACACTGTTCTGGTACAACTCTGAAATTCTACATACAGTGGGTACGGAAAGTATTCAGACCCCCTTAAATTTTTCACTCTTTGTTGTATTGCAGCCATATGCTAAAATCATTTAAGTTCATTTTTGTCCTCAATGTACACACAGCACCCCATATAGACAGAAAAACACAGAATTTTTGCAGATTTATTAAAAAAAGATACCATGAAATATCACATGGTCATAAGTATTCAGACCCTTTGCTCAGTATTTAGTAGAAGCACCCTTTGGAGCTAATACAGCCATGAGTCTTTTTGGGAATGATGCAACACGTTTTTCACACCTGCATTTGGGGATCCTCTGCCATTCCTCCTTGCAGATCCTCTCCAGTTCTGTCAGGTTGGATGGTAAACATTGGTGGACAGCCATTTTCAGGTCTCTCTAGAGATGCTCAATTGGGTTTAAGTCAGGGCTCTGGCTGGGCCATTCAAGAACAGTCTACAGTGATTGTTGACTTTCTCCCATCTCCCGACTGCATCTCTGGAGCTCAGCCACAGTCATCTTTGGGTTCTTCTGTACCTCTCTCACCAAGGCTCTTCTCCCCCGATAGCTCAGTTTGGCCGGACGGCCAGCTCTAGGAAGGGTTCTGGTCGTCCCAAACGTCTTCCATTGAAGGATTATGGAGGCCACTGTGCTCTTAGGAACCTTAAGTGCAGCAGAAAGTTTTTTGTAACCTTGGCCAGATCTGTGGCTTGCCACAATTCTGTCTGAGCTCTTCAGGCAGTTCCTTTGACCTCATGATTCTCATTTGCTCTGACATGCACTGTGAGCTGTAGGGTCTTATATAGACAGGTGTGTGGCTTTCCTAATCACATCCAATCAGTATAATCAAACACAGCTGACTCAATGAAGGTGTAGAACCATCTCAGGGATAATCAGAAGAAATGGACAGCACCTAAGTTAAAAATATGAGTGTCACAGCAAAGGGTCTGAATACTTATGACCATGTGATATTTCAGTTTTTCTTTTTTAATAAATCTGCAAAAAATGTCAACAATTCTGTGTTTTTCTGTCAATATGGGGTGCTGCAGTTTTGGATATGATAACATATACCACTCACATAAAAGAATTTTATTACCTGACCCTAAGGCAGCTTAATTTAGCTTGCCTTGTAATATCACCAAAAAGTCTTCTATATCAAACTTAAACCTGATTAAGCCCCAAGTGAAAGCCGTTTAACACTAAAAAGATTAATCAGCCCCTCTTTGAACTGCCACCTTATTGTGGTGGAGGGGTTTGAGTACCCGAGTGATCCTAGGAGCTATGTTGTCGGGGGCTATATGTCCCTGGTAGGGTCTCCCAAGGCAAACAGGTCCTGGGTGA